TTTTATATCGACCGGGCGGACATACTAGTATCCAATAATTATNTAAAGGCATTTCTGTGTACAAATTTTGAAGTGCTGGTTATTGGAGAATTGATGAATGGTCATTAGATATCTGATAATTATTTTAACAAAACAAAAAAAAAAAGAATTTAATATTTTAAAATTTATGATATGTTAACATAGGTATGTTGACATTAAACTTTATTTAATTTACTATTTGGAATTATTTGTCTGCTATTAAAAATAATTATAAAAAAAACAAAATAATAATTAATAAATATTAGGATTGATGATTTTCTTATATTCACACTGTATAAGGTATTTGGTTTAATTACCGGTATCAATGAACACATTTTACGAAAAAACTGATTTAATGACTCTGACCGCAAAATTATTATTATTATTTAATTTTATCTTATTTTTAAAAACTGACAAAAAATACATTTGGTAATTCATAAAGTCTTTTCATAAGTTTTAAAATTAATATTATTTACTGATTTTATATAGCAACAATATTGAAACTGCAAAAAAAAAAAACCCCAACAATGGTAGAAGTTTTTTAACTTTATAATAATTTTTATTATATTTAATATATTAAAAAAAGTATAATTTCAGATTTTATTAATAAAATTCCAAAAATTTTATAAACAACTCTAAAGTTGTTAATAATTAATACTCCCCCGCCGAGAGTCGAACTCGGGTCTACGCTGTGAAAGAGCGCCGTGATAGCCGTTACACTACGAGGGATTATAAATTTTTATATGAATATTTCAACCAAAATTGTTCAAGTTGAAGTTAATATAAGTCAAGATACTTAAATTAAAACTAAATTAATTCAAGGGAAACATCATACTTGATAAGTCAATTTTTAAATGATAAAGTAAAGATTAAAATATAAAATATGTTTGTCTGGTTTATATAAGTTTTTATTTTGTGTAATAACTATAACTGTAATCAAAACATTACTTTAAAGAGAGTTATATCGAAATTAACAAAATACTTTGAAGTTCAAAAAGAACTGTTTATATATGTTTTGTTTTTCTGAAATCCATAAATATAATAATGAATAATAATTTCAACTATTTTATTTATTTATTTCTTTAATATAAAACATATAAAGTTCAAGGGCTAATTTATTAATTACTAGTTAATTCATATGATTACATAATTGTTATTACATAATCATATAATTGTAAATTAGGTAATTATAATTTTTAGGAGTAACTAAAATTCGGACTTTTAATATTATAAATAATATCAACGATTTTTCATATAACAATCAATTTTTTCATTGAAAATACCGGGTCACTAGCATTACTATTCATTTGTTGTATTAAATAAATTTCATCACTTATGTGAAATAAAACTTGTAATGTGAATTTGAATTATAAATGTATGTATTGATTCATATAACAAGTTATTAATATAGCTATTATAATATGTCTTTACTTTTTATTAAGTTAAGAACTAATTCAAAAAAAAAAGAGTCTTTTATCTTCAGATATGATTTAAATCGAAATTAGTTTTTTTATTCAATACTTGTTCTGTGTAACAGATTAAACTCAGATCACAATCTTTTAAAACTTTATTTTTTATATTAATATTTTAAGTTTAAACTACTTTTCAAAGAATGATATTATCTGTATCACTGAATGCGATGACGAATTACAAGACATATTGAACATTGGAAAAAAATTGCAGTAAATTCAAATTGCTCTTAAACCTACACATCCACTAATGTAATTGGTGCTTGCACCACTTTTTTTTTTTTTTGATTTCTCGTCTGTCTGCAGATAATTTCTCGATTATCTGGTCACTTGGGTTCCTAATTTTTCAAATTTTTCAGTATAATGTGGTACGAATTTCCCGTAAACAAATTCTCATGGTTTACTTCTATTATAAACTAAACAAGTTCTTGCCTATTGCTAAATATATTTGTTCCTATCAAACCAGTAAAATTTGTTTTTAAATTGTGACTCGTTTGCCAAAATATTAACATAAACATACAGTAAAAAAAATTTTTTTTTTAAGAAACTCGTAAACTGTATTTTTCTCCTCTTAACAATAGACTATATTCATCATAATCAATTTTAACAAATTTTAAAATTTCTAATAGCTCTTTCATATTGCTAATAAATGTATATGGTGTATTCATTAGTCCAAAAAGAAGATTCTCTCATATTTTTAATTATAAGTAGGAAACACAGTTTTGACTATCCCCTTCCCAAATGAGATTCTAATAGTACCCTGAACTTAGATCAAGATTACTGAAACAACATGATTTACCTGCTGGAGTAAATTAGTAATCACTTTTTGACTATAAAAAAAGTTTCTTAATTGTAATACTATTTGAACATCTATAATCCATAAAAAAGTTTTATATCTCTATATTTTTTCTTTTTTGATTATATTTGGTAATTGTAATTTACTTTCTGAATTTCTTATTCTATCGTGTGTTAGCAACTCTTGTAATTATTCATCAATTATTTTTCTATATCATAGTGATGTGATATATAAAACTATAAAAACCACATATTTATCTTTCACATATAGCCTATTTTTAACAGACCTAAAGTGTTTTTTTTAAACTTTTAAAATTTTTTTAAAAAATCACATATGTATGAATATGGAAAAAAAAAACTAATATATGTTCTGTTAATTTTGCTTTACTATTCAAAGTAAAATTAAATTGTAATTTGCACTTGAATAAGCCAATATTTGATTATATATATATATCATTCAAGTAAACATATCAAATAGGTTTCTTAGAATATAATCAAGTTGACACACATATATATATATATGCTAATTTAAAGCTACTATTACTTAATGCCTGATTTTGAACATGCCTTCCAATCATGATTTTTTTGTTTTCCACAACTGACACATAAGTTTTGTTTAATTCTTGAACAAATTGTGATAAAAATTTTTTTAGGTAAATATTTGGTATCAAGATAATTTCTAAAGAATCTTAAAGCTTTATCCTTGTAAAGATTTTTTTTTTATGATTTCTATTTTGTGTTTGTTTTTTGCATATTTTGTTTCCATTTTGTCAGCATAAGAAGCTTTTGATCTTGTTTTGATCATCTTTTGCTTCATATTGTATTTCTTTCAGATTTCCAATATCATCTCACTAGGAGTATTTACTTTAAAGTTCAATACATTCCTTTGTACTCTGTATTATTCATCAAGTAAAAAATTGAGAAATACTATGCCTCTCTTTTTTAAAGGAATTTTATCAAAATAGTCAAAAAAATTTATTAATTTGTTGATGATATTTATTACTTAAAAATGTCGTTCTTTTGGAATATAGAGCTGACATATATGCAATTAGTGTTAATGGAGTGCCATACATTGTAGTATACTCTAATATGCATGCCACCTGATCTCTTATTGGTTTGCCATACAACCCTTTGACTGGATATGACCTTTTAGCATCTAGTGATTCCATACATATTGGACTTAACATTTTTTCCATACCTTTGAGGGTTGGATCATTCAATATTCTCCCAAGATTTAACATGGTAATAAGCAACATCATCCCAATTCTCGTTTGTCACTGACTGCGCATACATCTTATTTCTTGCTAACTCCAGTTTAAGTTTTAATAGCTGTTCTCCTGCTGTTTTAAAGTTAAAGCAGTCAATGTCAGTATTGTAACCGTGAAGCGCCCAAGCTTCTAAAAAACACTCATCAGTCTTGCTCACAACTTTGTGTAGTTTAATAAAATTGTCATAATCTTTTCTATCACTTTCATTGAAAGATTTGCTAATCCTTTCCTATTCATTAGAGTCTAAAAAACTGTATATCATGTTATAATATATTAATGTAAGAACTTGTTATATTAAAAAAAATACAATTGTACTATTTGATAAGTACACTAGTAGATAAAAAAAATGTAATGTAAATTAAAACCAAGGTTAAATAATAAATATTAAACCTCCAAATTTATACAACTATTGTATTAGTATCTTTACTGGTTTACTTCTTAAGAATTCTTTATTTTAGAAATATTTCAAAACATTTATATATATATAGTTT